GTTCGAATCCAGTCAGGGCCCCGACGTTGTGTCCTTGGGAAAGGCACTTTACACGAATTTTCCTCACTTCACCCAGGTGGGAATGGGTACCCGGCTATAGACAGTGAAAGATCTTGTCAGTTTGTCAGTGTTTGAGCGCTTAATCGGCTGCTTGCACTGTATGCTTCCCGGGAAGCTGAGAATGTTTTGGAGTGTTCTATGGTCTGCTGGGCTAATAATATAGTGTAAAGTGCATAGAGCCTGCTGTTGAGCGGGGATATGCGCTATACAAATGCTATCTATTATTATTACTATTATTAGTGATTAGACATTTCGCTCTCTCCCATACACAAAGGACTTGAATCAAATCCCAAGACAAGCAAACATTTTATGACTGCCTCCGTCTTTCTGCTTCGGTGTGCTCATCGCCGTCACACGTTCTGCCTACACTGCGTCCATCTAAAATATTCCAAGCTACCAGCTTGCTTTCAAAACTTCTGGAAACAAACATTGCTTTGTATGGGAGAAAAGTAGTCATCTGATGATATAAGATTTTTAGTAAGAGTTTTACTGCACTTGCAACACAATAAGGTCATATAAGTGCTGAAGATTAGAGGCGTTACAAGAGAGTAACAAATATAAAAAAGAAAGAGTAGAGATCAGGACGATAGATGTTTGATAGGAAAGAAGGAGCAAACCACACCACAGCACCCGCCAACCACTCACGATGATAGAAGTTTTTATAAGGGGTCATCCTGGACCGTTTCAGTATAAGAAAGTAAACAGGCCAGGGGATGGTGGGAGTTAGTTTTAGTTTTAGTAGAGGTTTTACGGCGCTCACAACTGCATAAAGTCATATGAGCACCAAGGGGTGGATGTCAACAGAGAAGTCCTTACAGGGAATCAGACTTACTTTGCTCACCTCTCTAGCTTCAACAGCACAAAGTCTGCTTCGACTATCAAGGCACCCCGTAAATAATGGGTCACAAGAGTGTGATAAACATACAAAAGAAGTAGAGGCAAAATGACAATAGTAAGGATTAAGAAAGAAAAAGCAGCAGTTCCCTATTATTGATCAGGCATAATTATGAGCGTGACATTGATGAATCAGCCCATTTACAATTCTACTGTGCACGAACGAGAAAGATTCCCCCTTTGGGAATGGCCAAAAGACACTTCAGTCAGTGGCACCGCCCCGGGGGGGGGGGGGGGTTATAGGGTGAGAACTGGCCGATTGTACAGGTGATTGTCTAAGACAGATGGTCGTTGGACCAGGTGCGACTGTTGTAGCCTGCATATATACAACACTACGCTCTCTACATTGGAACGAGAAAAAAGGCTGTGGTTTTTTATGACAAACAGATGCCAAGGTCAGATGTTATCTTCATTCTTTTTTCTGTTTTTCGCCTTTAGACAAAAACGAATTACGTCAAACATGCTTTCAGACCCTTGCTGTTTTGTTAATATGAAGAACAACAACAACAACAACAACAACAA